CCCCTTGTCTCCTAGAACCCGAAGAGGTATGAAAAGGGCAGAGGAGAGGTTGGCACAGTCTCTGATCTCTAGGAAAAAACCCTGTTGAAGAGGCGGGGACTTTCAGTCTCAGCAACTGATTTTCACGGAGGAAGGTCACCAGGAATGAGCTGCTCCACTCATTAGGCTTGACACTCAGCCAAGTCTGTGGAGATCGCATCTTTGCAAATAAAGTGTTGACTCCGTTGTTGAACTGTGTGACGACTAACCGGCACACAGTTACCCAGCTCCACTGAGAAGCTGCTTCCATAAGGGTCCAGCCTTCCTCAACTGTCACCTGGCAGCAGCTATTCCATCAGGCTGCAGTAGAGAGAGAGGAAGTGAAATATACTCGGAGTCGAGAGTGGATTTCATGCTCTTTATTCAGCTCATAGTGGTGAGGAGGAATGGAAGTTCCCCCAGAATGTCTGCCTTATATACATTATTTACACAATGGGCCCCATGTGATTGGCTAATTCCTGGATTCTTCTGTAGGCCAGTCAGGTTGTGGATTCCCTTCCACCTGGAGCTGGATTGGGTGGCTCCTGTGGACCAATCAGACTGCTGCATTCTGGATCCTATTGTTCTAGGACCAGTCAGACTGCTGCATTCTGGATCCTATTGTTCTAGGACCAGTCAGACTGCTGCATTCTGAATCCTATTGTTCTAGGACCAATCAGACTGCTGCATTCTGAATCCTATTGTTCTAGGACCAATCAGACTGCTGCCTTTTGGATCCTATTCAACTCAGTACATAACAGGAAGGAAGAAGAAAAGAGCCTGCCAAGGATGGGGCAAAGGGGGCAGTTCCACCCCACCACCATGACCCACAGATTCCCAGCTTTCTCTTTTTTAAAAAAGACAGTATTCCCCCCGCCCTTTGGGACACGGGTGGCGCTGTGGGTTAAACCACAGAGCCTAGGGCTTGCTGATCAGAAGGTCGGTGGTTCGAATCCCCGTGACAGGGTGAGCTCCCATTGCTCAGTCCCTGCTCCTGCCCACCTAGCAGTTCGAAAAAACGTCAAAGTGCAAGTAAATAAATAGGTACTGCTCTGGCGGGAAGGTAAACGGTGTTTCTGTGCGCTGCTCTGGTTCACCAGAAGCGGCTTAGTCATGCTGGCCACATGACCCAGAAGCTGTATGCCGGCTCCCTTGGCCAATAAAGCAAGATGAGCGCCGCAACCCCAGAGTCGGTCACGACTGGACCCAATGGTCAGGGGTCCCTTTACCTTTTATTTACCCCCCTAGAAATTGTAGAATGCTCCCTTGGGACAAAGAGCCAACCAGTTGACCAGCTGACCTTCCAATGAAATGCCTACCCACGAATGAGGCTTTGCCTCATTTCTGAGAGCCGCTTGCTTGGAAACGCAGCGCTTGCACCTCTGCTGCTTTCCCTCCCCACCGCCACCAGGCCTGCAACCTTTGAAATTTAAGATCTCCCAGCTGCCCTGCCTTCCGTTTCTGGTGGCTGGGTCGCCACAGGGGAGAGAGGCCCGCTTCACCATTGCTGGTGGGAATGACAGCCATGCTCTCAGCTTACCCTCGGCACTCAGGGGTTGTGTGTGTGTGTGTGTGTGTGTTGCAGACAAGGCACCTCCGTCGTCATGGCTTTGGGGGCCTAGGGAAAAACGGAAGCCGATCAGGCATCTTACCAAGGGAGGCATCACAGGCGGCGACGGCAAACCACCTCCATTGCGGCTTTCTGTACCAAAGAGCTCTTCAGAAAACAGACGAAACGTTGCCTTATCCGACATTCCAGCTCCTGCCTTTGGTCTCCCATTTAGCAAACCGTTCTTTTGGCTCTCTTGTGCTTTTGTATACAAGTTCAGCACTGTTATTTAACCCTGACAGACGCCTCCTGGGAGCAATTAAACTCCTTAAGATCTTACCTACATTCCACCAGACGTCTTCTCATTAAACAGTTGCTCAGATGTTCCCGAGGCCTAAAACATTAAGATTTAAAGGAAACAATTGACTGGTGTGTGCCCACCCCCACTTTCCTCCTCCCTCCCGAAAACCAGTTGTTTGTTTAACATGGGTAGAGCGAGTGCTGAGGTCAGGAAGGCGGGAGATATATGGGTTGCGTTGTGGTTCGTAAGCAGATCTAGCAGGTAGCGACCGTCTGTATTTTAATACTGATCCAAGTCTACCCATGCTTGTGTAGTCAAACCCTCACCATTCATGGAAAGAGAAATACCAGGAGGTAACCCCAGGGCATGCACAGCTGTAAAAAGAATAGAAGAAAAGAAATCCAATGTGAGGAGGGGACCCCAAAAATGGAATGGGGCTTCACTGATGCCCTCCACAAGTTTGAGGGCAAACCTCTGACATGAAGAGACCTGTGAATGCTCCACATGCAATTTGGAACCCTGTTTTTTCCAGAACCTGCTTCCGAGGTTCGTGATCCAGCTTGCGTAAGGCAACCAGGTACGGTTGCGTAAGGCAACCAGGTTCGGAGCAAGGTTAGATTACTGCAATGCGTTATACCTGGGGCTGTCTCTGAAGACAGTTCTGAAACTTTTATTATTATTATTATTCTTATTATTATTTATTTGTACCCCGCCCATCTGGCTGGGTTTCCCCAGCCACTCTGAGCGACTTCCAACAAGATTAAAAATACATTAAAATGTTATACATTAAAAACTTCCCTGAACAGGGCTGCCTTCAGATGTCTTCTAAATGTTAAAGGTAAAGGGACCCCTGACCATTAGGTCCAGTCGTGGCCGACTCTGGGGTTGCGGCGCTCATCTTGCTTTAACTCGTTTAACCCACAGTGCCACCCGCGTCCCATTTCTAAATGTTAGGTAGTTGTTTATCTCTTTGACATAAGATGGGAAGGTGTTCCACAGAGCAGGTGCCACTACCAAGAAGGCCCTCTGCCTGGTTCCCTGTAACTTGGCTTCTCGTAATGAGGGAACCGCCAGAAGGCCCTTGGCGCTGGACGTCAGTGTCCGGGCTGAACGATGGGGGTGGAGACGCTTCTTCAGATATACTGGGCCAAGGCCATTTGGGGCTTTAAACGTCAACACCAACACTTTGAATTGTGTTCGGAAACATACTGGGAGCCAATGTAGGTCTTTCAAGACCGGTGTTATGTGGTCTTGGCGGCCGCCCCCAGTCACCAGTCTAGCTGCCACATTCTGGATTAGTTGTAGTTTCCGGGTCACCTTCAAAGGTAGCCCCACGTAGAGCGCATTGCAGTAGACCAAGCGGGAGATAACTAGAGCATGCACCACTCTGGCGAGACAGTCTGTGGGCAGGTAGGGTCTCAGCCTGCGTACCAGGTGGAGCTGGTAGACAGCTGCCCTGGATACAGAATTGACCTGCACCTCCATGGACAGCTATGAGTCCAAAATGACTCCCTTGCTGTGCACCTGGTCCTTCAGGGGCACAGTTACTCCATTGAGGACCAGGGAGTCCTCCACACCAGCCTGCCCCTGTCCCCCAAGAACAGTACTTCTGTCTTGTCAGGATTCAACCTCAATCCATTAGCCACCATCCATCCTCCAACTGCCTCCAGACACTCACACAGGACGTTCACCGCCTTCACTGGTTCTGATTTGAAAGAGAGGTAGAGCTGGGTATCATCTGCATATTGATGGACACCAAGTACAAACCCCCTGATGATCTCTCCCAGCGGCTTCATGTAGATGTTAAAAAGCATGGGGGAGAGGACGGAACCCTGAGGCACCCCACAAGTGAGAGCCCAGGGGTCTGAACACTCATCCCCCACCACCACTTTCTGGACACGGCCCAGGAGGAAGGAGCAGAACCACTGTATAACAGTGCCCCCAGCTAGTGAAGAATTTAGCAGCCAGGTTGCTCACTGGGGCAAGATGGTTTGAGCATATTACACCGATCCTGGCACTAGTGTCAACTCCAGAGAGCTCTGGGCACCCACAAAATTTTTGCTGTGGGTGTCCAGCCTCTGCCCGCCACCACCACCACATACTTCTGGCTGCTGGCCCCGGCTGCCGCCTTACCTCTGGCACTCCAGCGCCACAGCAACGACCAGGCCGGGGCCTGCGCCTCCACTGTGGGGCCTGTGTTGGGGCCCACTGCAGCTTCAGACATGCTTCTGGGGTGTGTCTGTGGCTGCAGCAGGCCCCAACAGAGGCCCCATGGCAGAGGCAGAGGCCCCGGCCCTGTCATTGCCATGGCACCGGAGCACATGTGCTTGCCGTGCCGTCATGTTCCTGGCCTGACTGCACTGGCTGCCAATGAGTTTCCAGGCCCAATTCAAAGTGCCAGTTTTGACCTATAAAGCCTTAAATGGCTCAGGACCACAATACCTCAAGGACCGCCTGTCTCCATATGAACCTACCTGGGCCTTGAGATCATCTTCTGAGGCCTTCTTTGTGTGCGTCCTCCATGAGAGTGCCAGCCACTCCTTTCTATCCCTCTCAACTCTATGCCAGGGGTCTGCAAACCTTTTCCACAGGAGGCTGGTCTACTGCCCCTCAGACCTTGTGGGGGGCTGGACTGTATTTGGGGAGGAATCCCCCACACACACACCAATTCTCCCCTCCCTTCACCACAGCACCGGACGAGCCCCAGTGGCTGCTTACCTGTGCCTTGCGAGCGACAGGGGCTGGCGGCATGGAGGGACGATGAGCAGCGTGAAATGGCTGGCTCCGGAGATGGGCTACTTAAAATGGTGCACAGCCAACCGCGGCTCAAAAAAGCCCAGCCCCTTTCCTCCTCTAGGCAGGGCAGGGAGAAGCCGGGAGGAGGGAGGGAGGAGGCGCTGTCGCAGTGTGTGTGAGGGAGAGGAGGTGAATGGTGCAGCCCAAACGATCAGAATCCCCACGCCGATACATGCAGTGATTCCCAGACTGTCCACGGGCCAGATCCAGAAGGCAATTGGGCTGGATCCGGGCCCCAGGCCTTAGTTTGCCAACCCATGCTTTACGCCATTTATCTGCCTCCCTGTTTGTCTTCCATCCACAACATCATCCAGATTTTTAAAAAAAATTATTTCATCATTTCTTCAATACAAACAATAACAGCAAAAGACACATACAACAATAACCATAATAACAATAATAACACAATTTGACAATTCAGATCTGAATACACTGATATACCTATGACTACACCTTTTAAACAATATTTTCCCACCTCTCTCTCCTCCCCCCACCTCCCACCATTATCCGCCTTATCGCTTAAATATGCATTCCAGATTTCTTCATATTTATCCATTCTTAATTTGCGCCGACATGCAATTCACTCGTATGTAGCTAATCTATCCATATTATCAATCCATGTGCTCAATGGAGTCTTTTTGCGGCTCTTCCAGTTCATCAAAACAAGGGGTTTTTTGCTTCTAATATCGCATGGTACATCCATTTTTTTTGACCCCTTGAAATCTCCCACATTTCTGGAATATAATTTAGAATTAAATTCAATTCCCCTAAATAACAATTTCTTTTTATTACTCTTGTTATAAACATCCTCACCTCGCACCAACACCATCCAGATATGAAGAATATCATCTTAGCTTTCCTGGCTATAATGCTGGGGCTTCTGCCCAATGGTCTCCAGTGCTCCTTACATGCTACAGGACATGTGGCCTTACAGAACGGTGGCTTTTTGACCAATAGGAGTGACATGCCACGCTCAATTCCACTCACATAAGTGGGCATGGTGTCACACAACACTGAATGGCACTGGGCAGTGTCCCTACTCCCACCCCCGTCCGCACATGCATGATTCTGTTCCTTCATCTGTTCCCATGAGAACAGCAGAGAAGAGCAGTGTGAAGGTTATAAACACCCACCCCTCAAATTGTCCCTTTGCAGCCAAGATTTTCTGGGTTAAGGGGTTTGCAAGCCGATTCCCAAAGTGGCTTTCACGTGGTATGGAAACCCGAACAGAATGCAGAAATTAACAGCTACGGAAATAATTGGGGAAATGGAATGAACCGCCCTGTGAATGCAGCCATGGCAGACGATTTCACTGTGGAACTGGAGGTAGTCAGCAATCACCCTGGTAGCCATCTCAGCAGCACTGATTAAATCTATAACGGTATTTCATGATGTAATCGTCCAAAATGGAGATGTGGAGCCTGTACGGGCAAGGGAGATGGGGCAAAGCTTTTGCACATTAGTATGCAAAAATCTGAATAAGTAGCAATTGCATGGATGCAGAAGTTTGCCAGGTTGCAACCCAAAGATTGGGTTCCAGAGGGGGGGCAATGCTAGGTGGTTGAAACAGTGAAGGTGAGCACCCATCACTTAGAATCATAGAATTGCAAAGTTGGAAGGGACCACGAGGATCTAGTCCAGAGTTTCTCAAATTGGGTCCTCCAGCTGTTTTTGGACTACAACTCCCATCATCCCTTGCTAGCTGGACCAGGCGTCAGGGATGATGGGAATTGTAGTCCAACAACGGCTGGAGGCCCAGGTTTGGGAACCCCCTGATCTAGTCCAACCCCCTGCAATGCAAGAATCTTTTGCCCAAAGTGGGGGTTGAACCCATGTCCCTGAAATGAAGAGGCCTTATCAGGAGCCAGGAATAGCAGGGTTGCTCCTGGAGGCCAGTCAGACAGCCCCAGGTGGCTGCATTTGGCCCCTGTCTCTAAGGCTCCCCACCCAGGGCCGTCTTACCCATAGGTGCTAGGGGTGCGGGGCACCCGGGCGCCGGGCTCTCAGGGACACCAGGCCGAGAGTCCCTGGCCGAGATTTGGAGTCCGGGGATTGGGAAGAACCGACAGCCACTGCCAAGCGGAGCAGTGACCATCGGAGCACCACAGCTCTTCTGCTGCGGGCGAGCGAGCGAGGCACTGGGGCAGCTCCACCCTCCTGCACGCATGAGAGAGGCCCGCCAAGCGCACACTGCTCACACAAGGTGCTTGGCTTCGCTCAGTTGCCATCGCCACCGCCTTGGGCTCGACTGTTGTTGTGCTGGGCTCTGCTTGCCCCCAGGTGCCCAGCCCCGGCCTTGCTCTGTCTCTGTTGTTGCTGCCACCACCTCAGGCTTCTCTGTTGAAGCTGAGACGGCTGGCCAGGCCTAAAAGGTGGTTAACAACTTCGGGGTTCCCCCCCTAAAAAAAAGGTCGACAACTCTGGGCAAACAGGGGGGCGCCGGGCAGATCTTTGCACCCCAGCGACGCATATGCTTAAGACGGCCCTGTCCCCACCCCTCTCATAAGGACATCTTTCCTAAAATGGCTTGCCCTGTGCTGGAACAGCTGGAATACGAAACGAAAGAATGAGACGGGGGCAGAGGATGAGTGGTTGGAAACCTGAGCAAACACACTGAACATGGTTAAATTAGCATCTTCTGTATAAATTGTAAAATCGCAGTGACCTTTGCTAGAGGTCCATCAGCCCTCTGTGTTAGGAAGAAAGAACATTGCTAAGTAGGCTCTCTGCCATACCCTCAAGCACCTTCTTTAATTGTCTTTGAGTAAGAGCAAATCTTCCTGCCTCTTAATATCAAGTTTCATTAACTTAATCGTGATGTGATATCATGAAATAATATTTACTGCTCTCCAATAATTTATGTAAATAGCTTCCCCTTTCAACCCCGGCTCTCCAGGATGACAGGTGATTCGCGGTGGCTATTTTAAAAAAATAAATAAATCTGTGCACACCAGCCACCCACCTAGAACTCATCCAGTCTCACCGTCTAAGTGGAAGCAAAATACTGACATTAATCAGGTACTTGAATGATAAGGGAAGGAGGAATTGGAACTGAAATGAATGAAAAGGGAAATAGCCATTCCTCGTTTTGTGTGGGGGTTACGTTCTGGACCCCTGTGTGTATCGGGGGCCCCACGTAAAACATTCGGCCTCCTCCCATTCCACTCCCATTCTGCACTTTAATGACATTTTTGGGTCACTTCCAGGTTCAGCACTGTATATGTGTAAAAGGTAAAGGTACCCTGACAGTTAAGCCAGGTGCTCATCTCGCTCTACAGGCCGAGGGAGCCAACGTTTGTCCGCTTCCACAGACAGTTTTTCCGGGTCATGTGACGAAGCCAGAGCAGCACACGGAAACGCTGTTTACCTTCCCGTCGCAGTGGTACCTATTCATCTACTTGCACCGGTGTGCTTCTGAACTGCTAGGTTGGCAGGAGCTGGGACCGAGCAACGGGAGCTCACCCCGTCGCGGGGATATGAACCACCAACCTTCCGATCGTCAAGTCCAAGCGGCACAGTGGTTTAAACCACAACGCCACCCATATATTTGTATCATGCATCAATTGGCCGTTCCCTGTGGAACATTTTCAGATGGTTGCCTTACAGTTCCTTGGCATGGAATTTTAGGGAACCATCCATTCCTTCCAAAGGGCCAGCCCAACCATTAGACAGCTACCACAGGCAGCATAAGAACAGGAGGGAAACCCTGCTGGATCATAGCTATGGCCCATCTAGTCCAACACTCTGTAGTCACAGGGGTCAACCAAACACCCATGCGAAGCCTGCAAGCAAGACTTGAGTACAACAGCGCTCTCCCCAACAACTGGCATTCAGGGGAATGCTGCCTCTGACCATGGACAGAGAGCATAGACATCTTGGCTGGTAGCCGCAGGTACAATCATAGAATTGTAGAGTTGGAAGGGACCCCAAGGGTCATCTAGTCCAACCCCCTGCAATGCAGGAATCTCAACTAAAGTATCCATGACAGAGGGCTATCCAACCTCTGCTAAGAAACTTCCAGTGATGGAGAGTCCTCAGTTCCACTGTCAAACAGCTCTTGCTGTCAGAATGTTCTTCCTCTTGTTTAGTCGGAATCTCCTTTCTTGTAACTTGAAGCCACTGGTTCGAATCCTACCCTTTATTCCGCGTGACTTTTGTCTAATTCTGAAGGAGCACCTTTTCGCCCTCGCTTTTGACACTGGGGATTTGTATTTTTTAGGACACCACCTAATTTTAAGTTGTTTTGAACTGTTTTTAATATTGTGCAATACAGTGTTTTTAATATTAATGTTGTGTTTTGATTGTTGTAACCTGCCCTGGGCCCTTAGAGTGAAGGGCAGGTAATAAAATTGTAAGAACGATTAAAAGAAAGACTCTTCTTCTGTCACCATCCAAGTTGGGGGCACTGTGTGAAGAACTACTTTCTTTCGTACTATTTATTATTAGCATTCTAAAAGTAAAGGTAAAGGGACCCCTGACCATTAGGTCCAGTCGTGGCCGACTCTGGGGTTGCGGCGCTCATCTCACTTTACTGGCCAAGGGAGCCGGCGTACAGCTTCCGGGTCATGCGGCCAGCATGACTAAGCCGCTTCTGGTGAACCAGAGCAGCGCACGGAAACGCCATTTACCTTCCCGCCAGAGTGGTACCTATTTATCTACTTGCACTTTGGCGTGCTTTCGAACTGCTAGGTGGGCAGGAGAAGGGACTGAACAACAGGAGCTCACCGCTTCGTGGAGATTCGAACCGCCAACCTTCTGATCAGCAAGTCCTAGGCTCTGTGGTTTAACCCACAGCACCACCCATTTCCCTTTTATTAGCATTCTAAATCCACCTTTATTATTATTTACTAAATTTGTATACTGCCCTGCATCCAGAGATTTCAGGGCGGTTCACAACATTTCAAGGCAATTTGCATATAATAAAATTCAGAAAATAAAGTTAACAACAGATACATTTGAAACAAGACTAAATGCTAACAAGTGGATATTCGTGGTAAAAACCCATTTATCCAGCTGGGAAACCCCATTGAAACAAAAATGTATTAAGTTGTTTCCAGAAAGTGTAGATAGCATTGTATCTCAACAGGTATGCTATTCTACAGAACAAGGGCAGCCAAACTAAAAGCCCTGCCTTGAGTTACAGCAAAGAGGGCTTCTGAGATCTTTGGAACTGCATGCAGGAGAGACTGTTTCGCAGACCGCAGCAATCTACTGGCAGGGCCAGCCCAGGACATTTTGCCGCCTGAGGCAAAACAGAACATGGCGGCATACCTGCCACTGCCCCCTGCCCACCACTGCTGCTGCCTCCGCCTCTGCCTGAGGTGACTGGACGCAAGCCAAGGAAACCTCAGCAGGCTCAAAGCAGACAGCAGCAGCAGCCCCTCTCTTTTTATGCAGCTGCCCCCAACCTGCCGTCCGAGGCAACTGCTTCATTGAGGCCAATGGATGGGTCGGCACTGCAACTGGGTATGTAAGGGATATCCTCTGTCCTGAAGGTATCCTCTGTCCTGAAGCAGAAGCTGGGAGGCAGTGAGTGCTGGCAGGCAGAGCTGTGCCTGCCCCCCTAAACTGTCCCACTACCCTCAGGTACGTTGGCAGATATTGGCCTGTCACCACTGTTGAAGTAAGACTCACCTGCCAGCCTGGTTGGGGTCTGTACACAGAGTGGCAGTGGGTATCCTCTTGCCCTTTGCTCTCAGGCAGACAAAATGCCTCAGGCCAGCCCTGTTCCTTTATGGTGGTGGCCCTAATGCCCCACGCAGAACATAAGAAGCTACCTTATACCATGACAGGTCCATCTAGCGCCATACTGTCTACACTGACTAGCAGTTTATAGACCAAAATTAGAGGGCTAAGGTATCCAGGCAGTGGCGTAACAAGGGTCTCCAGCTCCCGGGGCTGCATAGAGTTGTTGTCTAGAGTGGTCGCTTCTTTGTTCACATGAAGAAGCTGTTTCAGCAGAACCCAGGAACACAGCTATATTGAGGCATTACTGGGTGGTGAAATTTTGTGCCCCCTAGCAATTTTGGACCCGTGACTACCTCCCCTGTGCCCCTCCCACATGCTACGCCACTGGCTCCAGGTACCAAAACTAAATGCATGGCCCTAGCATTTCTCATCTACTTGTTAGTTGTTATCCTCAAAGTTTCCCTGGTGCAGTTCTATTGCACAAGAGGTGTGGGAACTCCTTTTTCCAGCGAGTTCTTTCTTCCTTAGCCAGCCGCGCAGCACTCGAGTCAGGTTTGAACCTGTGGTCACTGCTGAATTGCTATGCTCTGAGGATGGTTTAATCCCCAGAACGGGCCCCTGGGTTAGCCAGGCCTGTTTTAATTGACATCTTCTGCTTCCATTTGAATTCAGAGATGTTGGCTTGTTTCTTAATGTGCTTCGCGAGGATTTTTCCTTCGCACCAAGATTGCTTGACTGACAGCAGAAATTAAGATTACATCATTCTCTTTCTTTGCCTTCGGCAGCTTTGGGCTATCAAGTTTCTCCCTGATTGGGTAATCCGCTGGTTCTTATGTAAAAATTAGTCCATCAGCAGCAGTGCCTGCCAACTTCAGAAAAATCCCAAGGGAGATGGAAGGTCCTCTTTACCCTTGATGGCTCTGTCACCCGTCCCTCTCTGCTTGGCCCACCATAAAGGCAGAGCCAAGAAAGCAAAGGTATCTGCTTTAATCCATTCAGATGATATTCCTATAATCTAATAGCGTATGCTAAATGCAAAAGATTTACAATACTCCATATTGCCATGGTTGAAGGATGAAGACTAGATTTCAAGTCTTTATTCTTTGCAAAATTCTAGGCATGTCCTGCTAGCTCGCTGATCAAAGGGGCCTGGTTTTGCAAAGTCTGCTTGCAAAATCCTAGATCTGAGACATGTAGCAGTTCCAATTTATTAAAAAAGGTTGATCTCAATTGAGAGCTCAAGTCTTGCAAGGTCTGCCTGCCAAACTTTAGACCAGAGCTATCTGGTTCTGCTTTGAATTAGCAGCTCCTATTTTGCAAAGGGTTACTCAAAGCTGCTCACAGAGGAGCTGCCTTGCAAAGTGTTTGCTTTGATCTAGCAAGCTCAGTTCTTGCAAAACTGGTCAACAGCTTTGCGCAGAAAACGTCGGAGAATGCAAAACCGATGCAGAGGAAAGCAAATCCAAGAGATCGTGTCTCTGTGAGCAGAGGTAAGTCAACCTAACATTCTCCTGATCCCTAAGAGTATGAGAGTTGGCAGATCTGCAACATCTGCCAACCCTTCACTAAGGTATCCCTTGCTAAGGCCCAGTTTCTTTTTTTTTTTAATAGATTTTTATTAATTTTCCAACAAAATTATAAAGTTTTATCCAAATTTTTAACAAATTAAATCTTTTTGGACTTCCTTAAGCTTCTCTGGTAATCATCCATAGTTATTCTTCAGTATGCATTCCCTTCATTGTATTGCCATTTGTCTTCCCTCCCCCTTCTATTTCTTTTTGACAATACATCTTAACTTTTACAGTGCTTCTTGATACCCCACTAGCGTTGTTTGCACATCACACACATTTTTCAGATACTCTACAAACTTTTCCCAGTCTTCGATAAACTTTTGGTTTCTCACATATCTAATTTTCCCAGTTAGTTTGTCCAGTTCCGCATAGTCTGTCAGTTTCATTCTCCATTCTTGTATCGTCGGTATTTCCTCTTGTTTCCATTTCTGGGCCAATAAAATTCTTGCTGCTGTAACTGCATACTGAAATAATTTACAATCCTTTCTTCTTATTTCTTTTCCTGTAATCCCTAAAAGAAAAGCTTCTGGTTTCTTTACAAAGGTATATTTTAACATCTTTTTCAATTCATTATATATCGCTTCCCAGAAACTCTTCACTTTCTTACATTCCCACCACATATGATAAAACGTTCCTTCTTTTTCTTTACATTTCCAACACTTATTACATGTCTTATACATTTTTGCTAATTTTACTGGTGTGATGTACCATCTATAAAACATTTTCATCACATTTTCCTTCAATGCCATGCATGCAGTAAATTTTAGATTTTCTTTCCACAATTTTTCCCAATCATCAAATTGGATATTATACCCAAAGTCTTTGGCCCATTGTATCATTACCGATTTGACCTCTTCAGCTAAGGCCCAGTTTCAGGCTCTTGGGACTGCAAAGATATGCCTAAAGACAGAAGCCAGGTGGGGAATAATCAAGTAAGAGTAGCGGCTGTGGGCTCTGCTCCAGTGCCCTGCATATTTCTCTGCCCCTCCTCATTATTAGCACAGCCAGAATTAATTATGCAAAATGGTGTTTAATTCAGGAATGTTGTGCAACACTCAGAGGTATCCTGACACATTGCACAGGTGCTGTAACTTATATGGGTTACAGAATTTGGCCCAGGAGCTGCTGAAATCTTTGTGTCGCTGCCCTGTGTAGTGAGCCACCATACTGCAGCTGGAAGTGAAGATTTTTGCGGACTGATGCACTCCAGACTCCTCGGGAATGCAGGTGGCACTGTGGTCTAAACCACTAAACCACTGGTCCTGTTAGCTAGGGATGATGGGAATTGTAGTTCCAAAACATCTGGAGGGCCGGAGTTTGCCTATACCTGCTCTTGGGCTTGCTGATCAGAAGATCAGTGGTTCGAATCCCTGCAACAGGGTGAGCTCCCATTGCTCTGTCCCAGCTCCTGACAACCTAGCAGTTCAAAAGCACCCCAGTGCAAGTAGATAAATAGGTACCACTATGGTGGGAAGGTAAACAGTGTTTCCATGTGCTCTGGCACTCATCA